TTGGAGCTCTTACAGTGATCTGCGGGAGCCTTGGCATGGGATATTTACCCCATGAATTACTACGCATGATACAGGTTCATGAATGAGGGGTTTTATGATGCGATTGGGATGATCATCGGATGGTTCGTTTGCATCCGTGAACTAAGTAGCTAGCGCTGGGTGGGTGGTCAAGGCGGACAACATACTGCACTATCGGATCGGGGAAGCCGGTCCGCAAAGTCAGTTAGACTCATGCAAACTACAATTGAAAATAGTATGGATTGCCTATCTATCTTGTCATTCCCTGTCAGCCATCATCTAATCAAGCACCAAAAGCACTCAGCAGCTTCTCATGCTCCTTCTTAGTAATAGGAATAACCGTTCCATGTCTCGGGCTCGTAGGGAGTTTATAGCTCGCTGAGACCTTCCAGCTCGGCTTATCCAAATCGCTAGTCTCAAGAGGCACATAACCCTTACCACCATACTCATCCACAAAAAGATAAAACTTCTCGCCATTGGCATCACCAGCGTTACCCTTGAAAGCAGTAGGACCCTCAACAGCTTGAAGACCAGCGTTTTTGCCAATGCAAGTAGCTTGAACGGTCCACCCGTCAACGGGGGCAAGCAGGTTGGAGGACTTCTCTTGAATGATGTCTGTGCAGCCGCTGGCTGATGCCTCGTCTTTAGTGAAGCGATAGAATGAGTTGCCAGACTTGAGAACGGTGGTGTCAATGCGGGAGGTCTTGCTGTCTTGCCAGATCTCAGCCTTGGAGAATGTGACGAAGTCGCGGGTGAGAGAGTAGAGCATGCGGTGATAAGAGTTGTCTGAGTGATCAGCTGTGTTGTACAGCGATGATGCCCAGAAGACAACGTATGAGTTCTTCTCATCGTCCCAGAACGCCTCAGGCGCCCAGGTATTCCCGGCGTTGTCGGGAGAAACCTTGACGTGTCGCTGCTCAGACCATGTGACAAGATCATCCGACTCCCAGATCTCAAGGTACAAACTTCCCTTGCGGACTGCATCGCCCCATGAAGTTCCACTGCCAATAGACAAATCCGTCGCAATCATGAAAAACTTGTCACCTTCAACAGATCGAATAACAAAAGGATCTCTCAACCCCTTCGTACCCAGCTTCGACGTAATAACAGGCTGTCCGCCATTAAGCTCCTGCCAATCCAACGCATTATTTCCCTTGCTGGCAGCAAAGTAGATATTCTCTCCCTGTTTCGAATTACCCGTAAAGTACGAAAACGCATAAGCCTCATACGGATCTTGTTGAACGGCCTGACGAACCGAAGCGTTAAACTCGCGCTCGTGCAATTGGCCGTCTACTTCGAGGGACGCGACGAGGAGGACGTCGGAGGTGGTGGGTTGACGCTTCACGAGACCATCGTGGCTGATGATGGAAGGATCGCTGCTGCGCCAGGTGATGGAGTGCCCGTTTGAGGTGGAGGGGAGTGTGATGTGGCTGCGGATGTCCTCGAGGTTGCGGACGTTGAGGGAGGAGAGGGCTTCGTGGGAGTGGATGCCCGTGGCGAGGGAGAGGAGAGCTAGGGAGAGGGATTGAAGACGGGGCAACATGGTGAAGAATGGCAATGGCCCTGGCGCAGAGATGAGAGAGCCGTAGGGGATGTCTCCTAAGATGAATGGTCGCGATACTGTCGTCCTTTATATACACCGCACATCTTTCCAACCTGACCAAACTTGGCTCCTTCACGATCTCCACCCAATGTCCTCAATTGCCTCCATTAGTCCACGGACCTCTCATCAATCAATCCTATTCTGTCGCTTGGCAAACTATAACACGGTCGTTTACTATTTCTTTTCGACGTCATTCGGTAGTTATTACCCCGGATCGACATTTCCTATCCCTTCTGGGGTAGCAAACCGACCCCTGCAAATGTTTCGTTACACGCGCCATGTTTTTAGGTTATACTCCGCATAAACGCCGAGCTTTTATTCGCGCGCAAAAATGTAGTGGATAAAAGATTATCTGGATCGCAAGTTTTTGGGTTCGAGATGGATACGAGGCATCATGTGCGCTGGTGATCATTACTGGATAAGTAAGGTGGTTGATTGTTTTTGGCGGGTTGATTGGGGGACCTCGGGAGTTGAGCGGTTTACCCCAGATGCGCCATGTGCAATGCTGGGGATGCTGTTTGTCGGGGTAAGGCTTTGTATACGTATGCATAGCGATATGCATAATTGCTGGGTGAGGTGGCGCGTAAGGATTTTGCTTTCGTCTAGAATATTAGCTCGATGGATGCATTACTCAACTGGCGCGGATATTCTGTCCTGTTCCGGTCAAAACCGATTATGCCAGCCAAACAGCGTTTCGCAACGTGTGAAAAGCTCGTGAGATTTGATTCCATATTCTAAAACCCCCTTTATTCTCGGCGGATCTACCCGTAGGTAGCTTCAACATGGCTGTACCGGGCTGCTATACGAGTGACTTCAGGGTAAGCCAGATTAACGACGAGGGATTCAAGACTTACATCCATGAGATTACCTTGGTGCTTACAGATGATCTGTTTGCTTCATGATGTAACACTAGACCCTCAGAGAGACAACGAGAGTCCTGGATGTCTCCTGCTTCTTATCATTGCCGTGATTGTCAAGATCTGTTAATCGTGACGGCTTTACTGTTTAAACCTTCAACCGGGTCGGGCATGCACACCACTGCGCGATAATTCGAATTGAATGACCAGTCATTTCTTCTTTCTGTCTCAAATAGTTAACTACTTTCCTCGTACAAGTAGCGGATGAGCCTCCGTGTTAAGCACATACTTCATCTTCCCATCACTCCTAACCTGCAACTCCGAATCCTCCGCAAACATCAAATACAAATACTTCAACGTCTCCGCCAACCAAAAACTCTCCATCTTGTCAACAAACTTCCTCGTCTTATCATCCTTCGTCTTCATAACACTCTTCAATCCCGTATATCCTCCCTCAATCTTACACATCCGGTTCAATGCCTCAAATGCCTCCCATGCCCAGTCTTGGTATTTGTGATCACCGGTGGCGCGGTAGGCGTAGTAAAGACTTTCGATGGTTTCGGGGCGAAGGATGTACTCAGCGTTTGTGTGATAGTAGCCGCTTTTCTCGTAGAAGGATTGCCATTTTGGAGCGGGGAGACGTTTGGATGATGCCTTAGCCAGAGGCTGACGGCCGTCGTCGACCCAGCGGAAGACTTCGGGACCGATACCACTGGGGCTTTGGCGATAGACTTCATAGTATGACTCCGAGAGTTTGACGCCAAAGTCAACGAATGTTTGGTTCTGGAGAAGTAGCCCACCGAGGATTAGAGAGCCGCCACAAACACTCGCCACTGCAAATGTTAGACTGGCTGCTACACAATAGCTTCAGCTAGGATAAAGACTTACGATGACTTGAGATAGGGATCATGGTGTTTCCACGCATTTCTCCCAGGAACGTCAGATCCGGTCTTGTTGATGGCGAAGAAGCCAGGTACAACATGGACGATTCGGCCGCTTGAATCCAGCTCTCTCCAAACTCCGCAAAAGCAACTGAATCGTACGCATACATCTTGATCAGATACTCATAGTAGCTATCCGAGCCACCTCCCCAACCAGCCTGATAATCACCAAAGTAGCCATCTTTGAGCTTGACGTACGTCCCAATCAGACCCGGAAGTGTAAAACTCTGCTTCGTCTTGGGATGGATTAAATGATCTTGGGCTCTCTGGGCGAGCTTGGCGTATGTCTGGTTGCCAGTCAAATCACTTAATCGAGTCCATTCGAGGACAAGTGTCCCGAAACAAGTGATGGAGTTGTCGATGTTGCCGAATCGACGGAGCTGAGGATTGAAGATAATCTCATCGTCGGGAATGCCGGATGGTGTGTCGAAGGCGATGCTGAGTCTGTCTGCAAGAATGACTGCCGCTTTTAGCAGATTGTTTCTCAAGTACATGTCTGTACAGAGGTGTTTGTATGACCCAGATAGTAAATCGAATGCTATTTATATGATTAGGAGGAGGAATTTGGTATTTAGGTTGGATGCTTGCCTGATAAAAGACCCCCAAGATAACGAATAGTCGTTTCGAAAAGTGAGATGGGTTGATCAGGCACAACAGTCACAGTAAAGTCTGTGAGCATGATCTGTCTGAGAATCTTATCCACGATCTCAGCGTCCTCCATGATAATGGCTGTACTCAGCCCATCAACCGCCGTCGCGCCCCAGCCATTTCTTATGACATGTCAGTAACTGCCCCACAGCTCCTTGAGAAGGTATGGACTTACCGATCATCCTCAAAGGTCTTACTGATTGGCAACAACGTATCATGAGGTGCCGCAAATTCCTCATATTTATTCCACGAAAACCTGAACGCTTCGACTATCGCTTTGGCTCGTAGCGGGTCGCCTTTTAGCTTGGCGGGAGCCTTTTGTAGATTGGGGTCTGAGTGACTAGGTTGTGAGGCTCGTCGGGAAAACAGAAGTGAAAAGACATGGTAGGTGATGAAAATGGCTCCCAGCCAAATGATGGCTTTCTGGACCGATCTCTGCATTATTCTCCACCGCCAACCCAAACGGACGTTTAAAAGTTTAGAAGAAGTAAGAGATCACAAGAAAGAATGAAAGAGCGAAAGGGAAACTGAACGGCTTCATCGATCGCCAGTCCTGGGTGAGCGTTGATTTCAGAAAAGCTGAAGATTCCCCCTGAGTGAATCTTATCGGTTATCGTCCCAATTTTCAGCTTAGGGGCCGATCCTTATCAAAGCCTCCGTCAGCGACGCACCTAAGGCCCGAACAGTGGTTAGGCCCCCGTCAGTTACGCCCTTAGCGCTGAGCTCCCCCCTGGAAATCCGTTGAAACTATCGAATCTAGCTGACCACCTGCAGCAAATGACAGGTGAACCAACGATGCGCTAACTCAAGTTGACAGGATCTTAAGATCTTTCTGGCTAGAGTCGCGAAACTATTGTTTCGTCTGCAAGGTACCCTTCACCAAAATGTTTGCTTTGCTCACTTAATGATTGCCTTGGCATGCAAAAATAACCAACTCTGCCTCATGTCATGTGGGAGGCCGGAGCTAAAACTCAGTCCGGTCCAATTCTTAAAATGTAGTCTCCTTTTCGAGGAGAACCTTCTTCCTCTCTTCAACGTTTGCCGTTCGTACACTCGTTTATACAACAACGCTACCATTACTCTCTTTAATCTTCAGGATGCGTTGGATTTCTGTCGCCGCTGTTCTCGGCGCTGCGCTGCTCCCTGCTAGCGCTCGTCCGCTGTGCCATCCCGATCGATCGACTACGACTGGTCTGCCCTCGACTACAGCAACTACGAGCGTCGAGACTTTGAGCACCGACTCCGCGACTGCCACTGAGACCTCGGCAATTGAGACAACGGTTACTTTCGTTACTACTTTCACTGAATCGGGGACCGCTACTGCGACTACGGGTTTCACTACTATCACCTCTGCGGCCACCAGCGAGGCTGCGACAACTACCTCCGAGGCTCCTGAGGTCACGAACTACATCCAGAACGGCGACTTTGAGGATAGCCCCAACACGGATTGGAGTCTTCGAACCAGTGACATCAAGAACGACCCTGAACGAGCTCGTTCCGGCAACAAATACGTGTAAGTCTTCCCAATAACCCGTTCCAGAGCATTACCAATAAGAAGCAGCCAATACGATGTCGATGACTCCGAAGCCGTCGGCGGCAATCAACTGAACCAAACCGTCAACGATCTCGATACCGAGCGACTCTACCGTCTTACAACCTATGCTACCGTTTTCAACACTCCCGCGCCTGTCAAGGAAGAAAGCACCATCTGCGTCATCCAAGCTCTGCAGGAGAGCACGATCCTGTCTCAGTGGCGCCTCGACTTTACGGACTTGGGTACATACAAGCCGCTCTTCGTCGATTTCACGCCCGTAGATGAGGATGTTACGATTACAATGAGACTTCGATGTACCACTGGAAAGAAGGTCACTTTCTCTGTTGGTCTGGATGATGTTTCTCTGTATGACATTGGCCCTAAGCTGGTTGGTTAAGCTACGGTATGTTACCGATCATCATAGTCAGACACTGAGATCTCATTGTTGGGAATTATCAGGTCAACCAAGTTCAAGCCCCGATCTTATGAGCTCGGGATGCAAAGGGATCTTGCTATGATATTTATTCTTCTTCGAACTTGATGAAACGCTTTTACACATATATGGCCATTAATCTTACATCTTCTATCACTATCCTGTGCATGGGATATTATACAGTGTTTGAACTCAGTATTGGGCCCTTGAGATATATGTATCGCTGGTCATAGAGTTCGAAGCAATAGTGAAGCAATGACCACCAGATCGTTCAATTCGTTCTTCATACTCAGTCTCTCCGATTTCCAAACCCATGGCACCTTGCTAACCTCCAAACATCCCCCTTCAGTTACCGGCGCTCTCGTGAACCCCTTCTTACAGCTTCTGACCAGCAGTGCCAGGAATAGTGGAAGCAACCTTTCCGGATCCCAGAAGTGTAACCTTGTATGGAAGCGAAGCAGAAGTGAGAGTGCCCTTAGGAGCAGAGTTGACCGAACCACCAAGGTTGACATCCTCAACAACAGCATAACCAGTCTCCTTGGAATCAGCAAAGAAAATAGCGCGCTCAACAGAGTTGGCGAAAGCAGAGCTCTGGACGAGAACTTGAGCGCCCATGCGGGTGTTGACACCGGAAAGAAGAATGCCGTCCCAGTAGTTGTTGACGAGGTGGACGGTAGCGAAGCGGATGAGGGGCTGGCGGCTGCTGACGTTCTTCCAGTAGTTGTTCGCGTAGGTGATGTGGAGCTTGCCCTTGTCCTCTGAGGCGTTGCTGTCGGAGTGGCCGATCAGAGAGCCCTTCCACTGAAGCCGAGGGTCAGCAAACAACAATATTTGGCTTAGAAACGAGGTCAACTTACGTGATCGTGGAAGTAGGTGTTGGAGACAGTAATCCAATCAGCACCATGGGAAATGTCAAGAAGGCCATCAAGGTCATCCTTTCCAAGACTCAGATCACCGGAGAGGTCGCAGTGATCAACCCAAACGTTAGTAGACTCATCGATGCCAATAGCATCGCCGTTGGAAGCATCAACCTTGGCGATCTTGAGGTTTCGAAGAATGACGTTCTTCTGGCGACGCACATAGAAGCCAACACCAGTGATTGCTACAAATCATCAGCTCAGACTACCCCAACAGCAGGAGCGTTGACTTACAGCTTCCGGCAGCACCAATGATGGTCTTGTCAGATGCAGGTCGAACTCTATCACTGCCTGTCAACTTGCCAGAGACGATAATGGTGAGAGGTTCGGTGCGCTTAGCAGCTTCGATGAGAGCGGCGACTGTAGTGACAGTGACAGTCGAGCCCTTGGCACCGCCAGTGGTTCCGCCGTTCTGGGTGCAGTATCCGACGGTGCAAGGCTCTGCAGCTTGGCGCTTGAGGAGGGCATCGCGGCTCTCAAGTGGGGAAGCAACTGCCAAGGTGGCAAAGAGGGTAGTGATGGCTGAAGTGAACTTCATGATGCTGGTTGTTTCCGAAGTCTTGTGTAAGTCAGGATAGTCACTTATGGGAAAGTCGAAGTCGGATGGTTTCAATAATTTGGATATTATTATCTCGACTTCTCAAGAGGTCTTTATAGAATTTCATCACTCTCATTAAACTTCAAACACAACTATTCCTACTGGTAGCACGCAAGACACCAATCCCCAATTCAGAATTCGGACCCCGGAGTCTATGCTTCGATTGCCTTTTCTGGAGATGCCATCACGAGCCTCTCACAGCGTCTATTGGAGTATGAATACATTGTCTGAGTACAGAACCTTGCATCGTGAAGGTATGTGAAACATTCAAGTCTGGATGATGTTGCAATCGGAAAAGATCGATGTCATAGATGGTTGTCATTGGTGGAATTGGCTGGGCTGAGAGGCCGTGGTTGGTGGATGATCTGGAAATACCCCGGATTGTGACGATCTGTCGTCCACTGTCATTACCGGCAGTGACTTGTTAATCTGGGGTAATGATAAAAGGAAATTCTTGGCAGTCAAGAAATATTCTTCTCAACAATACGATTCTTCGATAAGAGAACGTTCAGCTGATAGAGCCCGGCATTCACTCCTCATTCCACGAGTTCACTGTTGATATCGGGCGGCTGGCCGAACACCAATCTAACACCTATGGATTATCCCAGCTCAACGTTTAACGTAATTATGCATAAACTCCATATCCGGAGCTCGATCATGAGACCAAAATCGTACATACCCCAAAGTTTCGAATGTAAATTGTGGGGGCACCAGGTAGCCTTCGGTAATACCGTCATGCATGGGCTTTTCCATTTGTACGGAAAAGGCGAGTGAGCAGCAGTTCCCCCAATGTTTGAGATGTTCCTCGAATCATGCGATGGAGCAGAAACAGTCATTTGTCGACGTACTGCCGTATTAAATCATTGATCCTTTGCACATTTTGGGGGTTGTTTCGCTTTTACTGTCCAAATATATTTCGGTCAAGAAAGATATCTACCGCTGCAACAATCACCCGAAATACCGAGAGCACAGCCACACAATTTGATGGCCGCCATGATCATTATCTAGGCCTTAGGAAGTCAAAATGAATCTAAAGATGTTCGAGTCTCATTTTAGTTATAGGTGACTAATTTGCGAGAACCTACGCATGGATAGGTATGGAGTTCCTACACCACTGCGATACGGTGATAAGGCTGAGGGGACTGAGCTTTGAAAGAATCTCCAGCCCGAAAACAAGGCAGAGAGCACAGATTAACAAATATGGGCATTACAAACCTTGCCCTCACTAATGTCTAAGATGTGGCTTTGGCTCCTTCGTCTACCATGGCTCCGTCAGTCCCTTCGACTGAGTTTCATTAGCTGGGATGCCAATTGAGCGTTTCCTTCTAGGATACCGCTACTAGGTATACAGATATCGTGGCATGTATGCCCACTATTAAAACCTGGGGTCAACTCCATTCACGTATCTGGACAATCCTAACCTATCGAGGGGAAAGTGATCCAGGCCAATCGGTTGACAGCCTCTCCTGTCAATCAGTAGATCTACCCAAGGTGCAGAACCAATGGAAAAATGACTTGGGACCGAGAATACCAGCAGAACGGAATTAGTAGGTGTCAAAAACCCGAACGGTCTAATGGTGCCTGGAGTTCAGGTAACTTGACCACTAAACGCTCTGATAGAGAGGAAGAACTTCTCAGGCCAATGTTACGAAGCTGTTAGCACTTGAATACATGAGGTCAAATGAGGGGCCAAGCACCTCTATTTCCAATTTGATGTTGAATGAAGATGCCAACTTGAGACTCCAAGATGAGACGCTGCCTTCATACAAGCAACAAAGGCAGAAGCAGAGCCTCTCACTGCTGACGATATCCAATTAGTCCTTCTAATGGAGTCTTGAGAGCCGTTTATTGTTAACTTCCAGATAATGTGATTGTCCTGATTCAATATCGCTCAGGGAAAGTTTGGGGGTGATCCCAGCCCCGCACATGCAAGCTTTCAAGGTTGAGCACAGTTCCCCCACAAATGCTTGATCGAATCAACCCAGACTGTCCAACAAGCATCCCAAGCTAACAAGTACTAAGAAGCGGGAGCAAAATTTATGGTTAATCAGACCCAGCCTATTATTTCGGGTCCGTGACTGGTGGAATAGCTGGTCCCCGCACGGAGGAATATGGAACCACAAATCGCCTTCTTCCAGAGGTTCGATTAAGCTTACCCCGCGTCTTCCCTCCCCCCACAGATGGACCATGAATCTACGATACAAACGAAGCCTTCAAAGAAGCCTAAATTAACAACCCCGGATTTTACAGCATCTGGAAAAGATGCCAAGAAGAAGATCTTATGTTTGCTGCACGATGATTCATGGAAACATGTCCTTGGTGTCGACATGACATGTTAACTTAGAGTCTTGGCACGCAGTGAACCGAGCGAAGGACCAGGCTAATGTCATCGGTTCCATACAAAGCGGTGAAATGGTAGGGCAGGCACCAAGTCTGTTGGTTGGATGATGAACTGAGGTTGGTATGTTATAGCATGGAGTGCTTATTATCCATATCAGCCAAAAACATATATAAGCAGCAATTTCATCCTAATCTCTACCTATCTCACCTCTTGCCAATAAGTTTTGAGCTTGCACTCTTGCCTTTGACCCTTACCAGGACTGAAGTCGCATCTCGAATCCATCATGAAGGCCTCACTACTCCTATCTCTCCTCCCCGTCGCCCAAGCCGCCGTCATTGACACCCGTCAGTCCAAGACCGGCGATGGCAAGCAAGGTGACACCGATGCCACCCAAGGAGATCTCAGCCAAAGGCCACCACCACGCTTCCCCTTCCCCATTACCAAGTTCCCCGTCGCCAAGGAGACAGTCGTCCTAAAGAATGCCAAGTACATCATGCCTGGCGAGGTCTTCGATGGCAAGATGAAGCGCTATGAACGACCTGAGGGGAGCTGTAATGAACAAGCTGAGGGCACTGATGCTGATGCTGTGTTCAACTTATTGCCTGGTTCGACTATTCGAAATGTCATCATTGGAAAGAACCAGGCTGAGGGTATCCATGCTTTGGGTGATGCCTGGGTTGAGAATGGTGAGCAGCTTTATTTGTCTTTGACTGGCTTATACTAACTTGTGCAGTTTGGTGGGAGGACGTTTGTGAAGATGCTCTCACGTCCAAGGGCCTGAACACCCAGTTGAGGGTCATTGGCGGTGGAGCCCGAAGCGCAACAGATAAGGTATGCAAGAAGAATAGCGAGAACGCTGATTTTCTAATCATTCGCAGATCTTCCAAGACAACTCGCTTGGTGGCAAGTACAACATCACCGGCTTCTACGCTGAGGGTTTCGGAACCTTCTACCAGTCTTGCGGCAACTGCCTCAACCAAGCCAAGCGCAACGCCACGATTCAGAACGTCATTGCCGTTGACGGTCTCAGAATGGGCATCGTAAGAATCACTTCCACCAAGAACCTCGAATGTTTCTAACAGTTTTAGATCAACCCCAACTACGGTGATGAGTTCCGTCTCAAGAATGCTCAAATCGACAACGTCACCAGCATTGTTGACAAGGAAATCGGCAACAACGTGCAGACTGTTCCATACTATGTCGGAAACGGACCCGATGAGAAGTATGCTTTGTATAACGAGACAAGGGATAACATTACAAAGTTCAAGGGCAAGGTTACGAATGCGTATGAGCCCGAGGATCCTTATGAGTGGCTTGAAGAGTTCTGGCCCGAGGGCTTCAACTAATCCAGTCAATGATGCATAGGATACCCGCGAGGACGGAAGGCGAGAAGAGCCAACCTAATGTTAATGAAATAGGTGTCGGTAGAACTTGTGCTCTTGCCTACCATTTGGAACAAGATCTGTTTGGTGAGATTCACAATAGCAAAATACGAGATAAATATCATTACATGCCACAACTTGGGGCCACTTTTATATTCTTACTTCCTCCGGCTTATTAGTTCTTCTTAAATTAGCAGAAAGCGTTCTTTTCCCAGAATTTAGGCGCAAAGAGATCCTCTATTAAGCAAGTTCTAGACTCTTTCTATATCAATGCAGGATGCTCAAACTTTATACTTAAAACATTAACCCTCGACTAAGAATTTATGAGGGCGGTAGCAAGCTAAGGAGAATTAAACAACTGATAGAAGGCACAAGCGAAATTGTCACCAGGTCGTGTACAGGTCTTGAGGAAAGGGCTACAGGCCCTCAAGAGCCTTCGGAGGATTCAAGAATGTCAAATAAGAGCACATATTGAACAAGTGACTATTTGAAAGGTTTATTAAGTACGTTGACGGCTCTAGATCTAGGCTACTATCTCGGGGCTAGATTCAAACTTCAATACTATCATTTTGGGCATGCATGCTTTCTATACAAGGGACAACTTTAACCCTAGTAGCAATTTCTTCGGATAGCTCAAGAATTCGTCAATGTAGACATCAAGTTTTTCCAAGTATTTGAGCCAAGTCTGACTGTCTTGTCGATATCCATTTTGTTGATTCGCAACGCAATAATCTTCCTTGGAATCGACCTCCTACCCTACTGTAGACTACGGAGAGCATACAGATCTATTCAAGAGAAGACGTGTTCTCTTTATGCGATTTGTTTACAACACTGGAAAGGCCAGACGCTGAAGTTACATATCAATATATATATGATGATGTTGACAACAATATTGGAGAACGCATATACATGGATCTTTTGAATGTTCAGGTAGCAGGCTGAGGCGAACTTTCCTATCCTACAGCTTATTCGTCATATCTAAGCATTCCAAATCACTTGGATTTGTCGCTATATCGTCGGGTTACACAGAAAGGTGATGTAACGTGAACCCTCTTCAGTATTTGTCACGCAACAAAATAATGTCACTGGAGGACTTGTCCTTCAAGGTTTACGTGGTCCGAAATGTCCGAGTGCTGCATAACACATGCATAATATCATCTTGTATCGATAAGAAGGGTCTAAGGGTCCTCATCCATGACAATATCTTCCCCGCCTAACCGTTACACTACTGACTCAGAAGAGGGGCAATTGAGACTCAACTGCAACTTGTATTGGACAAAGAGTATTATCAAAGCATGCGTCAGTGAGTAGTTTCTCAACGAGGCCTTCAAAAAGTGCCATCGCTTCAATCCGCCAATCGGGACATCGGGATCCCTGTCCTGCTCACCAAGGGTCTGGCATCAGTGCCGACCCGCGACGATAACATCATCAAGCCACGAAGAAATAACCTCAACTCAACGGTCAATAAATCCCCGACTAGACACTAACCGTCGGTAGATCTCCATCTTTTCACATCGCCGTGACATTCGAACTGGGGCGTTTTGCTGAGAAAGATGGTGACTACAGCTTACTAAACCCTGCGTGAAGCGGGGACTGCATGATGACAAACCCGCGCCAAAGGCTTACGGTACACCTTCAACTGGATCTTGTAGCGGGCCGACCTTATGCATATTTGTATTGCTTCTCGTGGCGCCGTGGTGGCTTGGGCCAATATGCGTGAGGATAGCTTCGGCCGACTGAGGCGGACTTCATTTCCGACTGTGCATTTGGGCATGGATTGGCGTTGGAATCAAGGACCTTTCACTCCAGGATCTTACAGCATGCAAAGATTGCAGTATGCAGAATTCAGAACCTGCATGTGAAGTATTTGATGTTGAGTTCTTGAGTATATATAGCTGGATATCAACCCGAGTTAGAGGAAGTTCGTCAGGTTCAACAGCCATCTCACAGCTCCAGTACCAACCAGCAACCCAAGGCTTTCGACAATGAAGTTCAGTGCCATTATCGCCGCTGGCGTCCTTTCTGTTTCTGCTCTTGCTAAGAGCAGTTACAAGTATGAGCGCCTTGACAAGAACGATGCCGTGAGTTATCCGGCACCATCTGTTACTTCATGATGCTAACAGTTTTAGGTTCTCCTCGTGGTCGATATCCAGGAAGGCCTTTACCAGTTGACCAGAGATTGGGATCCTACTCTGTATCATCACCAGTCTATGGCTCACGCTGCTCTTGGTCAGGCTTTCGACATGCCTGTTATCCTGACTACCTCCGCCGATCAGGGTAAGTCCTCAACCCTGTCTTATCTCAAAGATTCTTACTGACAACTCAGGCCCCAACGGTCCTCTCATGCGAGAGATCCGCGAAATGTACCCCAAGGCCCCTCTCGTCCAACGCCAAGGCCAAGTCAACGCCTGGGACAGTGAAGAGTTCCGCGACGCCGTCAAGGCCACCAACAAGTCCCAGGTTATCCTCGCCGGCATCACCACCGACGTCTGCACCACCTTCCTCGCTCTCTCCCTCCGTGATGCGGGTTACTCCGTCTGGGCCAACATGGAAGCATCCGGCACTACGACCCCTCTTATCCGTGACATTTCCAACGATCGCATGCGCGATGCTGGTGTTCAGGTTGTGAGCTTGTTCTCCATTGTCTGTGAGCTGATGCGCGATTGGAGGAACAAGCCTGGTGCTAAGGAGATCTACCCTTGGCTTGGACAGTACTACCCTGCTGCTGGTTACATGGCTCGTGGCCATGCTGCGGCTATTACTAACGGCACTATCCAGCCCGGTGAGGATGGATATACTCACTATCCTTAGAGCTAGATTGATTTCTAGTATTGGCAGTGTCGTTGCCTAGATGGATAATGACTTGCTCTGGGAGCTGGCTTGAAAGGCAGCTGGATAGTCTTCAACTCCCAAAACAACCATCTCTGTCCCCATTTGGAGGAGATGGTTTCATATAGACTTTGCTTCATTCTTCTTCAACTTTAACAATGAATACACGATCATTGATTCTAGACTTCCTTTTCCCTACATAAGTGACTCCGTTTGACTAACATGCCTAAAAGTCTACGCATTCTTCGAACTCGCCCGACGGCAACAATATGCAAGAAAACGGTCAGTAAAACATTTGCGATCACGAAGCCTTTATTACGCCGTCGGATTATAAGTCTCACCATGTATTCCGCTCTCATCAGCCCACGGATGACCAAGCTCTGAAGCGCCGCGGAGTCCGATCTGCCCCGTGAATCACAACCCTCTTGAATGAGGGCGAGAAATCATGAGACCAGGCCTATCAGGGCATTCCTGATAACGGCCCCGAGCACAAGTCAGATATGACTACTGCCAATAATTTAAGCTTAACAGACCACCTAATGGCACGGAATCTGACATCTCGGTCTGTATTGGTAGGCCGCCAATCAGACCACCTTAGCCAAGATGACAGCACCTGATCATGTGCCACCAACACGTTGTCGTCAGCCATAACCCCAAAGACCAGCAACTCTATAAAGTCTCGCTAACGGCACTGATGCAATCTTAGATCGTGGCCCATAATTATCATACTTACCAAGAGTCAGTCTAGAAATTGCAGCTATGGCATCGAATAGCACGCTCCCTCTCACCATGCGCGCCACACAATGGCGCTCAATCAAAGGCGGCATCGACAAGAACTTAACCCTCATCGCCGACGCGAAGCTCCCCAAGAATGCTTCATCGCTTCCGAAAGGACAAACCCTTGTCAAAGTCGCATACGCATCGGTCAATCATCTCGACTACAAAGTCGCCGAGATGCCTCTCACTAACTTCATGTTCTCTAAACCCGTCACGCCAGGCCTTGACTTCTCGGGCACAATTGTCTCGACGACACTGAATGAGTTTCAGTCTGGTCAAAAGGTATTTGGAAGGACAGAGTTACCGATTGGTGGAACATTAGCAGAGTATGTTGTTGTAGGGAGTAAGGGAATGGCAGCGTTGCCAGATGATGTTAAGCTCAGAGATGCAGCTTGTGTAGGGATTTGTGGAACAACGGCGTTGCAGTGCATGTCACCGTTTGTGAAAGCGGGTGATAGGGCGTTTATTAATGGTGGCAGTGGAGGTGTTGGTGTTTTTGCCATTCAAGTTGCCAAAGCTTTGGGGTGTTCTCATGTCACGGTCACTTGCTCCGCTTCCAACGCTGACTTTTGTCGAAGCCTTGGTGCCGATGAGATTGTTGACTACAAATCCGAAGACACCATTGAAGTACTAAGAAAGAAGGAGGAAAGGTTTGACTTCATTCTCGACACGGTATTCAACAATCCATATCTCTACTGGCAGTCCCATCAGTATCTCAAACCCGAGGGGCAGTATGTTTGCGTTGGTCTGCCACCACGCTTTCAGACCTTCAAATCCCTACTTACTATCACCCTGTTACCGAGATGGTTGGGTGGTGGGAAGAGAAAGTTCAAGTATCATTCGGTGACAGCGAACAGGAAGGACTTTGGGCAAGTTGCAGATTGGATGAAGGATGGGAAGATCAAGGCCGTTATCGAGGAGGAGTTTGGGCTGGAGGATGCGGGGAGGGCGTATGCGAGGTTGAAGGAGGGGAGGACGAGAGGGAAATTGGTTGTGCGTGTTGGAGGTGAAGCTGGTGTTGATTGATAAGGTATGGTTGGATCATGGAGGTCATGGAATGACCTGACCAAGGGAAATATCGAAATGGACTTTTGAGGGACATGCTACGATCATTTTGGGTATGGAAAGAAGAATAATGATGGCAAAAGGCTACAACGGGTTATCACTACTGGTAATTGGATCTCTAATCCAAATTGAACAGAGATTTATTATTTCGGCACCGGGAAGACGATTTTCATGAACCCAAGCTTCCTATATAGACTCCGCCTCCAACGCCAGTAGTATACAGACGAGCTCAGAGAATAATAGCCTGAGGATTCAAATTCGAAAACATCTGATTCCACATCATATCCTCCTCGGGCGCTCGTTTCCAAATATCCTCCAACACCGCGATGACTGAATGGACCGAAGCAAATCGTATCTCATCATAAATAAATCCTGCAAGACCACGCACTAGACGCTGTTGCTTTGGGCATTGTGAGTGCGCTCCTGCTATGCAGATAGGTAGTACAGCGCAGTTGAGAATTTTCGACGGTTTCTGGATACTGAAGATACAGTCGAGACAAGATTGGGTATGTTGCTGGACGAGGGCATGGTTTGCTGGTAGACCGCAGACAGCTCGGTACAAGTAGATCAGTGCGGCATGCTGGAAGATGCGGACAAGGCTAAAGGCTTGTGCTAATTCTGTGTCGCATTCTGTTGACGGTGTATCAACAGGTGATGAACGAGGCGACGTCAAATCTTCAATAGCCAATGAAGCATACGTCGGCCTCAAAGCCGCTTCGAAGATGCGTATCCTCTCAATCGAGAACTCTTCGATCATCCGTGTCGTCGCATCAAGATAAAACGCCATACTCGAAATTTGCTGAAAGACCGTTGACAAGGAGCAATAACCTTGTGTATCTCGTCCCCACCAAACAGGTCCTCGGTCAACGACCTCCCAGATCGCCGGCGGGAATGATGGTGGTTTTCCTGTAAGCATAGCGCTTGTGAGATCTGTCGTCGCAAATTCTGATAGCATCATATGAAGCGGATCTTGGCCTGTGCCTAGGACAGTGGTCATGCCGCCGAGTTGGTTGACGATGGCCAAGACTCCGTCTCTGTGACTTGATGTCGATGCTGATGATTGCGCGCATTCGAGGAATCCATCATGGAAGTAGAGTAACAGCACCGCAAACAGCAACGTCTGCAAAGGACCATCTTCTTTCGAACAACATCCATCGACCTCTTCTCTCAGCGCAGCCAAGCATTCCATCCTCTTCACGTTCAAAATACTCCGACTGTTCCGTCCATCCTGCAACCACCGATGCGAATCAGCAAGAACACACGTCGCAAGTAACACAACACGATGCTGCAGCGCAACAAAGGTAGGTGGCGCACAAGGTTTCGAAGCAGTCGTCAACAAAGGCCAGAACCTTCCGTGAAAGTAATCCAACGAGCGCTTCTCGTATACTGCCAGTGACGCAGCGAGTTGCTCATCGCGCGTGGTAACCTGATAAATCGCCGGGACCGTAACGGCAGGCCGTGTACTCCAGCGAATGAGCCGTTCGTTATAATCACATGCAGCTCCGACTTTGGCGCAGCGCGAACAGGTTGGTTTTGCGAGATCGCATTTAATTCTGCGCTTTTTGCAGGGCCAGCATGAGCCCTCTACTACACGAACGCGAGTCTTTGGCATTGTCGATAATTGTATTCGGGGTTTGATAGTTGGAGGGTAAAGTTGGGGATTCGCTGGTCGTTGGTATTAACATTGTTGAGATATGCCAAGGCCTGAAACAAGTCACGGGCCCAGCGATCCGGAGGCAGATAAGGGAGAGATTGCGCGGGGAACAAGGTGAATGTCCGGCCAAGCCTCCGCAATTCAAGCCCCGCTTGAGAATGGGCAATCTAATTACTTGTTTGAGATTAGTGTCTGATATCATTGCGAGTCATGGTTGGTTGGCTGAGCGGGGTTACGGGTTTAAGTGCTGAATGATTGGTCCGGCTTTAGAACGGACGAGTCATGGTAAGGCGTAGGGTAGCTAAAATCAATGTGGATTCGGGAAAATGGATGTTGGTGATAGTTTAAAGCTTTAGAGAATGGTGAAAGATATGGATTGAGTCTAAGTAAGAATTACACCAACTCTTGTTTCAAAATCTGTTGTCATCACTGTGTTTATAGCTCTTCTCCTTGGCAAATTGCCACATGAACAACAGCAAGAACTACTACGGCTTGTAAAATAATATTGATCGTCCATCATTATAGTACTGAGCCCGTCCATGTAATCTTACACCTGCCGCCATTGGGAGACATGGAGGATTGTGATAATGGCTTAATCGACTCGAATCGAGGGCAGATTGGGATGCTCATCTACTAGCTGTTTACCACAGAAGCCCTCACGCTCCATTGAAACAGCCTGTGTCTAATTATCATCTAGTTGATCAGTCTTCTTGCAATTGGAAATCATCTATATAAAGTAAAAGAACAATATCATTTTCCATCTAGAACTATATGTATTTTCTATCTCTACTTAAGATGGTATAATTAGCATCGGACACAACTATAGCTATTTGCTCTGGAACCATCAGATGCACCGTCCAATTCTCTGATCTTGGCAGTTACAAGACCTCCGGTATATTTAGAAGTGACTTAGAGGCCCAGGTGACTCAGAAAGCCGCCGCTTTGACAATGACTGACGCTGATGCTCTGGTGCTTGAACCAGATGGTAACTATGTCGGCAAATGCTCACTGATTGCGAGTTGTAACTGTAGTTTTCTGGCACTGTAACTTGCATCACATACTGTGTGTGATGAACGACGTTGAAAGTCCTGACATCATATTAGCCCCATTGGCTATTTTCCTCTGCAGACAATAACACTGAACAGCTCCACCGCAGCGCCCTGGTAGCTTCACCGGCCAGTGGGCAACTCATTTCCCTATCGCACACACGGAAGAGGGGTTGCGTCAAGTATGAATGTGTATCAGGAAGGTGTCAGCGGGGAAGGTGATATATGCCGATGGATGCAAATAAGTGGCACAGAATGGGGCTATCGCATATTCCGGGTCAGCGGAGGAAGAGCCCAGCGACCTGAGCCGTCAGGAATCAGCGTTTATTATGGAAACAGTTGATATGCATTACAAATGTCACCACTATTATGAATTATGTAGTAAATATTCACAACAGTGAGAAGGATATGGAAGTTCTTACAACCTGCTTCATAAGGGCTATGGCTTGCTTAGCATAGAACAGCCACGAGTTACAAAGTATAGGATGCCCTGCCGGTCTGTCTAATGATAAGACATGTCTTTGTGTCTCCAATTACTTCCCATTGAGTCTCCTCGTCGACCAGCACACGCATATACGGCTACTGCACCACCGGCCCATCCTTGATGTGCGTAGAAGTGTATCGATTGGTTTAAATCCGAATTTGTGTTTGTGATATGCATGACAACTGGTATTTAATGCACCAAGCCTCAAACTCGAGTAGTAATGCGACCCTCTATTCTATGTATGATTCGCCTCATTAGGTATGCTAAGGGAGATCAAGACGTGGCTTTGTATCCTCCCAAGCCTCATGCAGAGATAGGACAAGGACATGGTCTCGTCGTGGTTTGGCACGCGCGATATTTGCCATAATATGTCTTGAAGCAACGTGACATAGAATTGATCTTGGCTTAGAGGCATACGTGTATATCTATAGATCTCGCCGCTCTCTCGCGGTCATGATCTTCAAATCGATGCCTGGAGCTTCGTCTCTCATGCATCTCATTTAACTTTTATTGCGTTAGCCGGAGCATACAAAATTAATCATGCTGTCTGCAATTCTTTTCCTCGTAGGAGTTGCCCACGCAATACTCTACCTTCGGACCAGACCTCGCAAGAACCTCCCTCCTGGTCCCAAGCCCCTCCCCATCCTCGGCAACATCAGAGACATGCCAGATGGGACAACCCCAGAATACCAACACTGGATCAAGTTCAAAGACCTGTACGGTCCAATCAGCCATGTCTCAATCCTCGGCCAATCCCTCATCATTCTTCACGACCGTGACGCTGCGAACGCTATCCTAGAGAAAACATCCACAAAGACTTCAGGAAGGCCACAGTTCGTATTTGGAAATGAAATGTGCGGCTACAATCAAATCCTCAGCTTCAAGCCATACGGGAAACAATTAAAACAACATAGAAAATTAGTTCATCAGCAATTGGGCACGAAAACCGCGGCATCGCGATTTCGAGACGTTCAAGACGTGGAATCACGCCGGCTTCTGCTGAGGATCTTGGAGACACCTGAGAAGTTGTCGACGCATATCAAGACGCGAGTGCCCGTACTTCCTCATCGGCAGTCTCTTGCTGACTTCCCGTTCCAGCGAAGCAAGCGCTATAATTCTGAAGATGACATACGGCTACAACCTCGAGCCGCACAAACCGGATCCACTAGCGCTCTTGATAGAGCAGATGATGCATAATTTCTCTCTTGCGTTCGTCCCTATGAGCTGGCCGGTTGATATCCTGCCGATCCTTCGGTATTTCCCAGAAACACTTCCTGGAATGTCCTTCAAGCGCATAGCACGAGACTGGAACGCCAATATGCGCATGGTAGTCGACGTGCCGTACGACTTCGTCAAAAAGCAAATCGCAAAGCAGTCTAATCGACGATCATATGTCTCTTCGCTTATCAAGCAACATGATGGCGATGTGGATGAAGAGACCGAGGCCGCCATTAAGCAAACCGCCGCTGTCATGTACGCTGGAGGCGCTGATACCACAGTCTCATCCATCCGTGGTTTTGTACTGGCTATGTTGCTGTTCCCAGAGGTTCAGAGGAAGGCACAACAAGAGATAGATTCCGTTGTCGGTTCCGATAGACTTCCCCAATTCGACGATCGGGATAATCTTCCTTACGTCGATGCCTTGATCAAGGAAACACTCCGATGGATCCCGGTAACCGCAATGGGAGTAGTTCATACAGCTGACGAGGATATTCACTATAAGGATTTCGTCATCCCCAAGGGAGCATCCTTCCTGCCAGCGACATGGTGGTTCCTCCATGATCCAGCGATCTATTCAGACCCATCTTCCTTCGAACCGGACAGATATCTGGAACCACGAAATGAACCGCATCCCAACTTTGCCTCATTTGGTTTCGGTCGCAGAGTTTGTCCCGGCCGGTTCCTCGCCGATGAGAGCCTGTTCATCAGTATTTCACGCCTCTTGTCGACGTTCGATATAAAAAAGGCTGTTGATGGGCGTGGCAATGAGATTGAACCTCAGATAAGTATCACGCCGGGCATGATTTCTCATATTCGTGACTTCCCATATGACATCAAGCCGAGGAGCGAGAAGTATGCGGATATGATTAGACAGGTTGAGGTTGAACATCCATGGGAGCAAGCCGATGCTAAGTTTCTGGGCGAGGACCTGTCTATGCAGTCGGCCAAAGTTTGAGAGAATATTATCAAACAGGGGACAGATAGTACGTCAACCATAAGGAAAGACTCAGGCAGGCGGCTAAGAGTCAGCGTTAGTAGTTAATAGCACAATAACCTTCACTTTCCACTAGTCAATTTTACCAATAGTAATAATGCATAGAATAACAGTGAGGTCAGGCTTAGTAGTAGATCATGAATATGTTCTCGAATTTTTAACTATATACCGGTATTCAGAATAAGTCTCTGACTCTTAGTCAAGACGAGGCAGCTCGCCCTTCGCCTGTGCTTCTTCAACAGCCTTGTTGTAAATCGCAACCTTCTCCTCATACTCCTTAACAAGATCCTCATCTCTCTTGCCGGGAGTAGCATCATCACCACCGAAAGCACGAACAGCAGCGTAGTAAACATCAGCCAGAGCACGGCATACACCAGCAGCACTTGAAGATGTGCATTGGTAGTACAAACTATTCACAATTAGCCCCGTCTCTTTCTCGATGCACAATGGTGGGACTTACTCGGTCTTGAAGTTGCTATCAATGCGAGCCTTGGCACTAACAGTGAAACGGCTCTGCTTGCGATAGTTGTTATATCCAAAGTCGTGGCGGTTGCAAGCAGGGACGAAAGGGAAACCGAAAGGGTTGTCGGGGGAAGAAGTGCAGCCATCAGAAGTCCAGTCAAGGGTAGGAGGGTCACGGGCGTTGCGACGAGCGGTGAATGTTGGTAGAGTGACGCTGAAGAGGAGTTGATCCGTCACGGTGTTGGCGCTCTGGCGCTTTGAGACAGCAGCATCTTCACCTGTAGGGAGGGCGAAGACGGCTGGGATGAGGGTGAGGAGAGAAACGCTGAACTTCATTTTGATGACTGCACTGATGAACGAGAAAGTCAGAACTGATTAAGAGTATCTGAAGTATTTATACATAATCATAACCTCGTGCCCATCAACCTTCTTCTCCGAAGAAGAGATTCTCCGAAGTTAACGTTAAAAGCAGTAGTTTACCTCCGATCATCGCATGCCGAGACTAGGAGGTACCTTCCTAAAGCAGTAATGATCTCTGCTCCGAAGGTCACGCTCCAAAGATGGATTAAATCATTCGCTCTACCCGCCAAGACCGGTAGTGCCTATTATATGCCGACCTGCTTGTTTAAGCTTCAAGGACCTGGATCTGCATAGATCGTGGTGGGATAGACAACGTGTATTGGTGCGGGGTTGCACGATGCTAAAACCGCTCGGTTTCTAAAACAGGAACAACCTCCGCGACGACGAATGACATTCTTCAAATGAAGAGAGAAAACCAAGGAACCGTTTAAACTATATGGATGAGCTTCCTTTTCGAATCAATTAAGCTAGGAAATGACATGTGAAGTTCTTGGGGCTACTGCTTGTCGTTTTCCGCGTATATGAAATTCGCAGCTGGATATTGTTAACCTCGGTGAACGAGATGGGAATTAGATCGTCCTTACCGATGGGAATAAGACCATTCTCATGCGCCCATTCACGGACTCCATGGCCTGCATGATCCGATCCCCAGTGCTTCCTCTCCTCTGGTTTGCTCAGGTGTAGCTTCTTGGTCGTTCCATTGGCTGCGATGAAGGTGAAGAAGACATAGCGGTGCTTTCCGGTCTTTGGCGGTGGAGCAGGAGGTTTGTATTTGATGATGTCCTTGAGGTGATGTTTGGATTTGGACTCTGATGAGAATTTCAGTTTAGAGCTGGCTGCGATCCAGTGGCAGAATTCGGACCATTTGGGGTCATCGCGGGATGGCGCGTCGGGATCGGTGAGGACGATGACATACGACATGTGTTTGGAGAGTTGGGCACCGGCGAGAGCGTCAGATTCGACCCTGTCAAGATGGATTACAGGCGCCTTTTTAAGATGATCGGGTTTGAGGGTATTGCCCAGCGCGGCAGAGTCGTGCTTCCATTTGACACGAAGGCTAAGAGCAGGCGGGAAGTCATCAATAACGGTGGGAATGATCTGAGCCTCGAGCAGTCTATGCGGGTTAGCAGACGTCCTCAATTGCGGTGAAGCTGACAGTACTTCTCGCGGATGTGATCCAGATCTGTGTTATGGGAGCCAAGCACTTGCTGCCCATCACCCGCGACAACGCCGACATACGCAGCCAGCAGAAGAGGGAGCCGCCACAACATTGCGACGAGCATCTTGATACTTTGACTGATTGATTGATGAAATGGATTGATGAAGTCAGAGAGAGAATCAATTGAAGTGAAGAATAAGAGAATGTTTGGCGTTGATGGTCCTTCCCCGCAATCGACGTTGGGTTTCTCAGGCGACACATCGTGATGTAACGGCTACCTACCTCTGACGTGAGTGGAAAGTCTGATGGCCTATTTTCAATGGCCCCAACGCTCCAGCAAACTTTAATGGCAATATGAAAATTAATCGAGGCTATCTGACTCAGAGTAAGATCATTGGAAATAGCTGATTAGACCAAAGGACAGCCAGCACCAGTCCACCAGAATAGAACATGTTATACGTACAATCATCGAAAACGAAATAGCTATACTAAGTTTCTCGTTATCACTCCAGAGCTTCTATACACTACTATAATGAATGTTGGGTAATTGCATTGGGGAATGCTCTTAACATGCAATATTCAGGGTATATATACACAAAAGGAAATATTTTTAATCACAGAAATGGATGCAAAACACGCTTGAGTTTCACATCTGTGAGCCGAGATATCGCAAACACTTATTTTTAACAACAACAACAACAACAACAACACTAACAACCATTGAAAATGCATCTTGACCACAAGATTCCATGGCATTTGATTGCTCCCCATTTCTCACTTACGCCAGCTGATCAAGGGGCAAACTACAACCTGGCTGCGTTAGATATCCCCGAGCAGAAAGCGGTGATCGGCCACTTTAACCGCGTCTTCTTGGCAACTATCCGGGAATTCTCAGATACCGAGTCCACGAAGACAGACTCAACACAAATCAGTGGAAAGCTCTTTTCCGACGATGTCCTCTACTTCGCTGAGCGCCACTTCGGTCTCGGTCCCCATGAGGATAACTCGGCACTGCACAACCCGCTGAACTCATCGCATCAGGATCTTGGATACTGGAAACGCCGAGCAAAGGATCTAGATAGTGATGTTGAGCCATGCTACAGCACCGCTGATGCCAACCTGGCCGACGCGGCAAAGATGCTGGTCATTGTAGCTGCTACCGCCGATGACAAAACCACTCGTCGGGAGGCTTTATCCGCGCTTGTCCGTCTGTCCATCGAGGTTCCAATATCAGACCTGCGAGGTCTTCATTGGGGTCACGCCTTCGGACTCGACCTTGTTGCTAGCGTGGCGTTGCAAATGTACATCTTCCTAAACCTCATTGAAGCTGTCGAATCTCGGGCAGCAGAACGGGTGCCGTTACTATCTGTTGAACAGCTGCTGTCATTTCTGAGCAACCACGCCCTTGAGAACTATGACTTCCCTGCACAGAATATTCCGCACCGAGCTTTTTGGCATTCTCTTGGGGTTACTGAGCCATGGGTTGCCGGTTGGCGTAAGGGTACTCTTGAAGGGGACAAGGCGGTAATTGATCCGTTGGCAGGTGGGTCGGATGAAGTTCAACACAAGGCGAGGAAGAGTTTGAAGAAATACTTGAAGGACTGTTTTGCGATTTTGTATGCCTATGATGTGGTTTTGAGAAATGCAGTAGGGTCTGAAAAGGCGGATGAGTATTGGCAGGACGAGCTTAATTGGGTATTCGAGTTGCTATAAAGTCAACAATTCAGAGCAGGCGTTCAAACAGCTATCATCCAGTGACAGTTCTTTGATAGGTAAAGATCGCCATTGATCATAGTGCTGATGCCGTAGTCAATAGTTCAGGTAAGTAGTGGTGAGTATTGTGAAACAAATTGATAGCAAAATGGCTCATGTAGTGAGAATATATCGAAGAATAACTATTGGAATACGATATATCATCTTATTCCTCCATTACTCGGCAACTGGCCCTTGCTTTTGGTCCATTGGTACGGCGATTTGACCACCACATGAAGAATAGTATAGACTAAGCATTACTCAAAAACCACAACAATGTCAGGCTTCTCTGGGTGACTGTATGGTTTCGGCTCGCCTTTTTCCCATTTCTCGCCCATCCAATATTCAGGCGATCTGAGAATTGCAATGAGTCGTATGATATCCACATCAAGATACTCCCCACCAAAAGGCAAAGCGCAGTGACGTGTCGCCAGGCTTGGCCTACAGCGCGGAATGGGAAATGAGGTTGATGGCGCACTTCACGCCTGCAATCTCTTGTCCCAATCCAGGCTTGTGCAGGTACTTATTGGATAGTGGTCCAATCGCATAACTTTCCAATATTGGAATTCTGCGGAGTGAGAGCGTCAGGCATCAATGCAATGTCTTGTAACTTGGGCGCAGGGCCTGATGACAGTACCGTATAGAATATCAGTGTTTCTAGCTACCAAAAGGTTTTAAGACATTTCTAACTTCACTTCTATAATCACTTCCCAGTCAACACTCAGAGATACTTGGTACAAGTCAACTGTCAATGAACGAATTAACGCTACAGGACCGGTTGGATTCTAAAGCCGAGGGAGAGATCCCTGCGTCCAACAGGAAATTGTGCGGCAAATGCCTTGCAATATCTTGGAATCCTGATGATTACAAGGGCATTCCGGGCCAAAATAGGTTTGAAAATTGGACGCTCAACCATCATGAGACTTTGGGTGAACTGGAGAACTCATGTGAGACTGGCTACCCGCTATGTCAAACGTTCTTTTCACTTCTTGTCTATGAAAGGATAGGTATGAAGGGTAGGGATATCCTACATTGGAACATTGAACATAATCGTGGCGAATGGTCGCTTTCCTTTGAGGTGGAATATGACGAACACATGTGGTTCATGGAAGGGGATGGTGAGATTCAGCCGTCTCAATCGATTACGATGGTGAAAAGTAATTCATAGCCGACCTTTGCGTGATGAGGCGTAATCCTAAAGTTAATACCCAGGGCTTTCGCCGTCGACTTTGGACGAAGACTTAAAGGCTCTTATTGAGGAGAGCATAAACCCTTGGATTGAGGCGTGTACACGTTCAGGGAAGCACAACAGCTGCCCCAGATGTCCGTCTGATGACTCGGAGTCGTACAGCATGCCAACAAGACTAATAGACGTGGGGTCTGTTGCTCAGTCTACAGCACGGCTGGTAGAAACCAAAGATCTTTCAGAGGAAAACAAAAAACGGCCATATGTCATCTTGAGCTACTGCTGGGGATCAGGGAACGATCCTGCACGAACAACAAGTCGGAACCTGAGAGGAAGACACAACACGATAGAGTGCGGCACTCTTCCAAAGTCAATTCAAGACGCGATCCGAATTATCCGCTTGATGAAGATCCAGTATCTTTGGGTCGATGCCGTATGTATTATACAGTATGTTAAAACTCTGAATGCGCAACAAGAAGACGATGTGGCAATGGCCGATTGGGAGAGGGAGTCAATGCGCATGGCATCTTATTATTCCAACTCTGTGTGCTGTATCGCAGCGTCGAACGCAAAAGACAGCTCAGAAGGAATACTAATTGAACGACGAGCAGCGCGGTACGGCTTCAAGAAGTGGTATAACCCAGCGAACAAATTCTTACCGTCGCCCTTCGCCTTCAGACGAAGGTTCCCCAGCTCACTGTTCGAACGAGGTTGGTGCCTTCAAGAATGGATCCTTTCACCTCGTATTCTTCACTGGACAGCCAATGGTTTAATCTGGGAATGCTCAAATGGGTTCTTCTGGGAGGGCCAAAGCGGCTTCGAGGGAGAACCTCCATAATCCTTTGGCGAAACGCGTTTCGGAGGAGAGAATCGCAAGACAAATGACTGCGTGCTGGAACTTGGGTTGTCGGAGGATGAGACACAGTACATATGTCAGATTCTACGCTCCGAAAAAGAGGAGGCATTAGGTGAAGGCTGGCCTGCATTAGTAGAACACTACACTCAGAGGCATCTGTCATTTCTTAGCGACAGACTCGCAGCTGTTGAAGGAATTGCAGGCGAGTTGTCAAAGCTTCACGGGGTCGACTACTTCGCAGGTATTTTTGAGTCACGATGCCTTGAACAGTTGTTCTGGAGATCAGAAGACCCACAAAGGTTGTTGGATACTACTGACAGATTCCCGACCTGGTCTTGGCTGTCGTCAAAGGGTGAGATTACCTTCAGACGTGTCGGTTCAGGAGGGGCATTTGGCACTGGGATGGAGAACCTTGAGCGATTTCCATCAAGCCAACGTGAAAAGAGCCTTGCTCGCGTAGCGAACAAAGAACTCCGTTTCACTGCCCCACTACTGAAGTTGGATATGCTGGATCCAGAAGATGCAAAGTCGGACGAAACAGAGTCGGACGAAACAGAGCCAGAATATCCTTGGCCGGGGCGTCACCGCTTTTTATTGGAACTGAGAGTCCTGTTTGGCAAGGATTAACTTGTACTATTCATCTCGACAGCCTGGCATCTTCTGTCTGTTTAAAGAACCGTGCATACTTGCTATTATTGCGCCATCTGTCGTTTTCGGGAACAGAGTATCAAGGACTAGTTGTACAGATGGTTGAAGGGACTGGCGAGTGGGAATTCTATTATCGAAGGACCGGAATCTTCTTCTTACAGCAACCGGGGGAGTATCTCCAGGACCTACCAGACTTGAAGCAATGGATGACTAAGGTTATCTTGGTATAGTCATCGTAAAGGAATCTTCTTTTAAGAAAGAATGCTTCGAATAGAACCACGTGTTCTTGGATACCCGTGTTCCTGCGCTGCAATTTGACTCGACAATTGATCTAGTTGCCTTCGCACTCAGATATACGGGAAGTAGGTATTCCTAGTAATATCAAGATAGCTGAATGAGTAATTAGTGTGCGGAGTGATACAAGATAAGACGGCAACATTACTCGTAATACACCAAAGGCTCTGCGGTCCGCACGAAGCAAGTTTTAAAAAGTTAGAGGGATTAAATAAACAGTACACTGAAAGCTTCTCCATGCCGTCCACTTGGGCCTGATTCTTCCGGTAGTGAGGCCTGGCCTCTGTGTTTCAAAACGTTATTCCTGGCATGAAATAGCACCACTAGCAATATGGCACAATACCCTCTTGTGCGGCGCTGCAAATAGATACAGTCAATAACAAGATAGCCCAAGATCTCACTCTACGCAACACTTGACTAGCTCGGACAAGTCCTTGCCAGTCATCTCATGTCATTCTTCCCAAAGTGGTAGGATGCTGACGGGGCCAAGAATGAGCTAATCCTAGACGTCACTAAAAGAGCCTCAATTGCCAAGAGATATAAGGTAATCGCAATGGCACGCCATGTAACTTCAAACCATGTACCGAATGGCATCAATTGCTGCCGTATCCCAGGGTCTCATGCTAGGGCCTCCAATTACAGCCAGTATTGAAGCGGCAGTCGCTTCAGCATTGGTATCAGAGTTTATTCCAACGATTTCTGCCTAAAGAGCGTTTATCTTGCGGTGAGGAGTTGTAGGATTCGCGATTACACCTTCACAAGGAAAAGCGGCACGCATCGAATTAAAATCCTGCAGTCGTATCTGCAGGTATGACCCGATACCGGTGAAACACCCTGCAAGCCAAACTCAATTTAATTTGCCGAAGCCATCCTCTCAACCTCCCGTCACGACACCCTCAAATATTCCATCTCCCCGACAGTCATCACCAGATCTTCACTACCCCAGATTTACTCCTCCTCAGCACCGAATCGTACGGAACCGCCAATGGAAGATCTCCCGGAGCCGATTCCGCTAAAGTAGGCACCGTAGTCGGAACCGCTCGTCAAAGTGCGGGGCGCCGAGCGGGGGAGGGACAGAAACAGTTGGCGCGGGCTTTCAGTGAAACGTGGGGAAGCACAGCATGAGAGTTTGACAGGAATAGCCCAATAGTAAAGGGTAATGTAACGTCGATCAGCGGGCTTGGAAACTGTCGGCTTGCGTTTGGTTATGCATGTTTCACTTGAGGCTGCCTTACTTAAACCCAACCATCTTCCCCTCTTCGTTCACTCCATCATCAACTCTCTCTCATCCTCCTCTTTACCTCTACAACTCACATCAAGATTCACAAATATCACAATGGGCGACGTTATTCCTCAGAGTATCCCCCGGACTTCCCGAGCGTGGGCAGTCCCCGGCTCAACAAACATCGCCCTCGCAAAATTCCCCTCCGCAACCAAAAAGCCCTCCTCCTCAAACCCTCAAGAAATCGCCACCTCCCTGGTATCCGCCTTCAACACAGCCCTCAAGAACAAAGACCTCACCTCTCTCGCCCGTCTATTCTCCGAAGATGGTTTCTGGCGCGATCATCTTGCCCTATCCTGGAACTTCCGCACCGTCCAAGGACCTTCCAACATCCTCTCATTCCTGAAATCCTGCTCCGAGTCAAAGGATGGTCTTCGCCTTACTAAGATTGAGGTTGATAGCTCAGCTCCCGTGAGACAGCCCCAGTTTCTGCCCATCGATGGGGCTGGTGAAGTCCAGGGCGTACAGTTCTTTTTCGAGATTGAGACCGTGCGCGGTAAGGGACTGGGTCTTGCGCGGTTGATTGAAGAGAATGGAGAGTGGAAAATTTTCACGTTTTATACGAGAATTCAGGAGTTGAAGGGTTTTGAGGAGGCGATTAATGATCATCGATCGCGTGGTGTTGAGCATGGTGGAAAGCCTGGGCGAAAGAACTGGGCGCAGCGACGAGAGGCTGAGGCTGACTTCGCTGATGGTAGCGATCCTGCCGTTTTGATCGTTGGTAAGTCCCTTACACGTTACAATGAAGTATGCATGAGTTGCTAACAATTTTAGGCGCCGGCCAAGCTGGTCTCACAGCCGCTGCTCGTCTCAAGATGCTTGGCGTCGAAGCCCTCGCAATCGACCAGAACGATCGCGTAGGCGATAACTGGCGCAAGCGATACCACCAACTCGTCCTTCACGATCCCGTCTGGTACGATCACATGCCATATCTCCAATTCCCTCCTCAATGGCCCATCTTCACACCCAAGGACAAACTCGCTCAATTCTTCGAAGCTTATGCCACTCTTCTTGAGCTCAACATCTGGATGAAGACTTCCCTCGTTGAGACAAAGTGGGACGATGCTAAGAAGCGATGGGATGTCACTGTTGAGCGAACCAAAGACGACGGTACCAAGGAGCGACGAACTCTGCACCCTCGACATCTTATCCAGGCTACTGGTCACTCTGGTAAGAAGAACATGCCTGACATGAAGGGCATTTCCGACTTCAAGGGCGATCGTCTCTGCCACTCTTCCGAGTTCTCTGGTGCTCGTGATAACAGCCAGGGTAAGAAGGCCATTGTCGTTGGATCGTGCAACTCAGGCCACGATATCGCTCAGGATTTCCTCGAGAAGGGCTACGACGTCACCATGGTTCAACGCTCCAGCACCCATGTCGTTTCTTCTAAGGCCATCACCGACATTGGTCTTAAGGGCGTCTACTCCGAGGACGGTCCCCCCGTCGATGACGCCGACCTTCTTATCCATGGCCTTCCCATCCCCGTGTTCAAAGCCCTCTCGGTCACAACATGCCAGAAGCAAGCAGATTTCGACAAGGATATCCTCTCCGGTCTCAACAAAGCTGGTTTCAAGACCGACGCAGGCCCCGATGGCGCCGGCCTTTTGCTCAAGTACTTCCAGCGCGGAGGCGGTTACTACATCGACGTCGGCGCTTCTCAGCTCATCGCCGATGGCAAGATCAAGGTTAAGCACGGACAAGAGATCGAGACTGTGTTGCCGCATGGATTGAGATTTGCGGATGGCTCGGAGCTTGAGGCTGATGAGATTGTCTTCGCCACGGGATATCAGAACATGAGAACGCAGACGAGGGTGATGTTTGGGGACGCGATTGCGGACAAGGTGAATGATGTTTGGGGCTTCAATGATGAGGGCGAGATGAGGACTATTTGGCAGAAGAGTGGACATCCTGGATTCTGGTACCATGGTGGTAACCTGGCTATGTGCCGCTACTACTCTAAGTTGTTGGCGCTGCAGATCAAGGGATTGGAAGAGGGTCTGTATGGTTATGACGATATCTGAGTCACGGTCGCAAGGGAAATTGTTTTTAGCATTTCATTATAGTCACGCAATTGAGTTTCATCATTTCAAGACCAGTTTCAAGTAAATATGTGAAGATCATTAAGTCGTGATATAATACACAAAGGATAGAATTATACAAGTAACCGTAAGCCATATCCCATCATCAGCTGTGACCAAGGTCTAAGCTAAAGTCCAACCATCAATCCCATGTACGGATTTAACCAGCCTGGTAAACAGCCAAAGCAGCAACATGAGGGTTAATCATCGTAAGGTTATAAGGCGTAACATAGAGATCCGTATCCGTCAAAGCAAGGAACATAGTTCCGTTAATAGCGGGATCACCCTGCCAAGTCGAGACATTAGGCTGGATGGTATACGCCGTTCTATCCTCAAGGCTAATGTTCTGAAGAGGAGAGTATGTAACGTTGAGCTGAGATACCCACGCAGCGAACTTGGGCTCCTTGACGTTGGTGGAGGTGATGTAGCTGTTGTTAGGACCGACAGGCTTGCCGGGTGCGTCCCAGTTCAGGAAGACTTGACGGCCGGGGTATGAGAGGGGGATGGTGCGGTTGTGAGTAATTGCGGCCTTGCAGTTCTCGCCGGTCTCAGTAGCGTTGACGCAAAGTTCATCGTCGTCAATGTCCTTGGTAGACAAAGTATTGGCATATCCACCAGTCGTCTCATTCCACACAGCCGATCCATTGATGCGCGCAGGGTTAGGCTGGTTAAGAATATTC